AATATGCCTTGAGACAGCACTGAAGGTAAGTTGTTCCATCACCGTTCCAGGGATGAAGGTGAGGCTGACTGGTCTACAGTTACCCAGGTCCTCCCTTCTTACCCTTTTTGAAGACTGGAGTGACATATGCCTTCCTCCAGTCCTCAGGCAACTCTCCTGTTCCCCATGACTTACCAAAGATGACAGAGTGGCCTAGCAATGACTTCAAATGACTGGTTATCTAACATTAATCCTAATATCAGATTCCAGATCTATGGATGCAAAACACTAATACAAGAAGTTAGCAGGTGTCACCAAGCGTATATATTTTGCCATCAGTATTACATTATTTACAGATATATCTAGTGTACTGGAACATTCTATAAAGACTCTCTTCATGCTAGAGGAGTTTTCAAAAACCACAGTACAACTAAGCCTCTGTTTTCACATTTGAGCTTTTGTTAAAAACAATTACTGTTAGTTTTTTCTCTCGCTTCTACTCACCCTTTCCGTCACTGAAAATTGATGAGTTTCTGCTGAAATTTTATATGTATGGAGTTTGGTTGGCACAACTGTGATGAAATACTGGAACATCTGGTTGTCTAGAAGAAAACAAATCTCACTGTTGAATTAAGTAGAGAGTAAAAGACCACCTGAGACATTCACAAATAAATCAAACAAATAATATTTAAGATAATTAATCAGCTAAGCCATTTACACTGGGGACTTTCTTCAAGGAGTCCAAGCACTGCCAAGACTACTTCAGCACCATCTGAATGAACAAAGTCCATTTCCATGGGTGAGGCTTATGTCACATTTGCACTCAGAGACATTTACATTTTACCCATGTAATGAAAAGACTCATTAATGTCAGGTCACTCAAAACAGATACTGTCTTCCAGGGCACTAGAACTGAACGAGTTTCACACAGTCACATTTTGCATGATACATACATCTTGACAGTGGTTTGAGTATATTTTAGCTATTGAGCTGTCTATACGTGCTGGAAACACTTCTGAACTGGTTACAGTTTTTCTCTTGATTAGACAGACTTCTAGAAAATTCCACTAAAGCAATCAGCATGCTTATGCACTTATGATTGCTCTGTCTTCATGTAATTCCCTAAGAAAACAAACAGTGAGACTGAGGCGATTTGTTCAACGACCCTAAACCATTCCAGCTGGAACAGCCAACAGACTGCCTGACTGAGACAGCTGCAGCTTTGAAGGGTCTGGGGATCACTGTCATGGGGAATACAAGCCAGAGGATGAGGCGTACGTAGCTCTGTAGAGTAGGTTACTATACTCCTTTTTTTATATATGAGGAAACAAAGTGATACACAAACCCTCCCTGTAGTAGCCCCACAAAACACATTATGGAAGTGACAAACCCAATACAGGAACAGAATCCAAGACTCCTGATGCTATTTTTTTAAAACAAATCAGTCTTATTTTTCCCCATTAAGACAACAATCAGATCTATCAATCTCCACTGTAGCATACTTCTGCAGAATTCTTTGCAATTTGTTCAGACATACTGCAACTTCAACATAACACAAATATGGACATGCACAAACTGCAAATCAGCTTTAGTGAAACAGCAAAGCACAGCAATACTAATACTAAAAAGAAAATGTCCATTTAAGATCCCACGTAGATAACTGTAACAGTGCATTGCCTGCTACCAAATTCAGAAGGACGTGCTATTTGTAAACCGCAACATGAAACATGATAATATTTGGATGTGTATTTAGGTAATTTTGGAATTAATTGTAATGTAATTATTGGAAAAAACTAGAAAACAAGATGCTTTTTTAAATGCATAACACTTACGATCTGATGCTATTTTTTCTGTTCCATCCAAAGGATTAATAATTCCCGGAATAAGCTCTCCAAATGACAAATGATCTATTCTGTGAGAGAAGTTATAGGCTGAAAGACAATACAGAGGAATTAAACAAAATTTTTAAACTATGAGATTCTGTACTTTTCTCAGAGAAAAAGGTGTATCCATTTCTCACATTGGAAAACACATTAGTTAGAATATTTCAAACACTGGTGTGCATTTCATTGGATTTGTGCCTGTGACCACATCAATAAATCTATGTACGTGTTTCAAACAGAATTGAAATCCAAAATATTTAACAACTACATTCTATTTCTCTAGAAAGTAACTTCTAAAACAAATTATAACTATCTGAATCAACCCTGGAGCTAAAGAGAGTTAAAATATAATGACAGGAAAACTGTAGGTGACCAAGTACTGAAGTTATTCTACTGTTCAAGTTCTTGTATGTAATGGTATTAAAAAGACTAAAATTTCATAAATTAAATGTACAGATGAAGCATCAGACAGCTACCAAGTTACTACATTGCTTGATTTTGCAAAGGTATTTAGGCTCTGCAATATTATACACTTGTGTTGGGCAGACATTCGGAGGTTTAACCAACACCAAGTTCATTTTTCACAGTAAGTCACACTTGCCTCACATTAAGTATGGCAGCAACACACATTTGGTATCTAGACTCACAACCTAAAAATGAAGTTTCTAAGGACAAAGGTCAGGAATTTTTAAGCTTACAAAAACAGATTTTATAGGAAATAGGTAATTTGGACTGAAATACAGGAATTTCGTATGGTATCTGTTAGAACAAAGTACATCTGAGATTCCTGTGCTATCATTACTGTAGAAGCAACCCAAAGATAATACTAACAATGCTAAGTAATGAAAGTAAGTAACGTATGAAAGCAAGTCGCTACTGAGTGGTAACATTGCAAAAGCAAAGAATATTCTTCACTTTCTTTTACAATGCAACTGCCCAGCTAGAACATCTTTACAACAGCTCCCTGTGTTAACATATGAATTAGGAGACAGCCGTCTGAACGAAATGATACTCCTTCGTGTGCAGATGACAGAAAGAACTTACACTCGTGGCTTACAAGGGCTGCCAAGTGTGCGTGGCCTCTAGGGTGGGGTATTGCCCTAAAGAAAGCAAAATATGTTTTATGAAAAATTTGTTTAATGAATCCACACAAAAGACAGTTTTCCTAAACAGGACTATGTAAAAAAAAAAATTACCTCTCACTCTCTATTTCAATAAATACTCTTTATATATATTTTAAAAATAATTGCATATCTATTATATATATATATGTTTAAATATATATAAAATATATATGTGCTTTACAAACATATACATATAAAAATGTGTGCATCTATATAAAATAATAAGAATATTTTTATTACTGCCAAGTACAGGCAGCCTGAATGACAAAGTACAGGAACACCAGACTCATGAAAACACTCTTACACAAAATTAGTCTCTTGCATTTTTAGAAATGTCAAACAGACATCGGGTCACTAGGCTACTAGAAGGGCCACCAAGGCCCACCACCTGAAAAGCTGCAGAACTGCCCAAGTGACTAATGAAAACTTCACTGTACTTGTTCTGTGACTAAGCAAGTTAACTACACTCTGTATTTGCTCCTTCACTAAGCTAGTTAACTTCAGGTCTGGACACTTGTTTGTAGACCTGCAAAGAAAGTACAGTTTAGAGGCTGGTAACAGTGTGAAGAGAGGAGAATAAAAGTGCAACTCTGCCTGGCAAGTAAAACAGTCTCTCAGCCACACTTCACTCCTACCAGTCCAGTCAGGAAACGTTCCCTACTTAGCTTAAGTTAAATCATTACCAAATGCATGTAAATTTTGGACAAACAGAAGATGTAGAAGACAATGAGATCAGTCAAGATAGGACTCCAATAAAAAAACAGGCAATAAGGTACAAAGGCATCCAGTGAAGAAAAGTCATTAAAAAAATCTGCAGAAGAAAAGTACAAAGGTAATGATGAGCAAATGGAAGCAAAGGAAAGCAAAAGATTATTCAGGGCTGCAGAACTACAGGTAGGAAGAGAGAATTGGTGGCAGTACAGATGAAAGGCTGACATTATCAGCTCCAAAAAGGCTTAAGAAGTTGGAAATCTAGGGGCAAATCAGAAAGGTGGTACCAGACCAGACAGAAATGACATTTGGAGAAATACCCACAAAAAGACAGCACTTGGAATTACATGGGGATAAACTAGAGAGTACAGATGGCATGCTAAGATCTCTGAAGCCAAGTGAGGAGAGCAGAGCCAGACTGCACAGTCTGCACAGAGAAAAGTGAACACAAGTTTGCATACAGTGTATATAAGCTAATACCATTGCTGAAGCTTATCAGAAGGTCTCTCCTCACATCAAGATGAACTGGCATTTAGCTCCCTAAGTATGGTTCTACAACTATGTTGTGTGAGCACTGGAATGGTACATATCTACACTTCATCCACGTTAGTGAACTGTGTAGTAACAGAAAGGAGAAGTTTGGACAGGCACAAAGAATGGAGGCAAGTACCAGCAGTCTGCTCCAGGTCATACACTTACAGAGGACCTACTTTCAAGAGTTTGCATCCTGTAAGACACTGGAATTCATAATCACTACACTGCATGCAGCAACGCACTGTACTGCATTGTTTTAGTAACCTACGAAGAAACTTGTTTTTAACTGTGCAAGAAAATATATATAAAGGAAAATACCACCAAGCATGTGTACAGGAAGGCTAATAAAAAACAGTCATTAACTCAAAAGTGTAAAAGCACACACGCACATATACATGCATGCACTATATGTAATGCAGGGGTCAATTCCTTTTTTTTATTTTCAGAAATTTAACAGAACATACTTGCCCACAGTTATGTGAAAGTTCCCTGCCACTTTATTGACATAGAGATGGCCATGAATTCTGCATGCATCTGGGGACTGTAATGAATTATCTTCCCTGTTTAAACAAAAACAACAAAGAAAACTTGAGAATATCCACTAACAGAAATAACAGCAGTACAGTTAGATTTCTTTTCCTAGCATAAAGACATAGCATTATCATCCACTTCTCCGTACTGTATTCTGGAATTAGAGCAGGGATGGTGGAAGGGAGGGAAACTAATAAAGCTCAGACTGATGAAACCAGTAAGCTTTTGTTCAGACTTGTATTCAGAGATCTGCCCTACAAAGCTAACTTATGATACCTGAACACATGAACAGAAAATGTAAGACTAGGTATATCTTGCTGCCCTGGTTTGTTTGGGTTTTTTTGTTTGTTTGGTTGGTTTTTTTCTTTCAATTACTTCTACCAAAAATGGTCGGTGGGAAAATTTTTAATGCTACAAAGAACAGAACAAAATATATTAGTCATGTTAAAAACAATGTAGCTTTCAATATTTATTGTTTTATGAAACCTTCCTCTTCCCCACACTTGTTGGGATGTCCACAACTCAGAACATATTTCTAAATCTGTTCCTTAGAGGGAGACTGAAAAAAAAACCACCCCCCCCCCCCAACACTTTTTTAAACACATCTCAAGCATAAATACCATCTCAAATACCATACTCAAACAAGTGTCATAGAGGCACAGAAGGATTTAATGAATCTGAAGACATCAACTAAACGAGAATAAAGATTTTTTGAGCCTTCTTCAGTCTTGCCTTACAAAGCCCCCCAAACAATTTTTTAAACACATCTCAAGCATAAATACCATCTCAAATACCATACTCAAACAAGTGTCATAGAGGCACAGAAGGATTTAATGAATCTGAAGACATCAACTAAACGAGAATAAAGATTTTTTGAGCCTTCTTCAGTCTTGCCTTACAAAGAAAGGATGCATTCAGTCCTCAAACAGGAAGATTACAACATGGAAAGTACATACAGCGTTTTTGGTGTTAGTTTTATATATAGTTTGCTTGTGTGAGGTATTTTTGTTTGTTTGTTTTTAAGGGAAAGGGAATTTCAGCTTTCATGTAGAAAGCATTTTCCCCTAGAGGAAAAAAAAGAAATCACATAGCACCAATATACAGACAGACCAAGCCTTTTAATGCATTAATGTCTCTGCATTTTGCGGGTAGTTGGAATTAAAGCAGAAACTGCAAGGTTTCTCCATACAATTTTAACATGCTATCTTCAACCAGGGCATTTACTAACAAAACACATTTTTATTCAAAGGTTGATTCTTTTAAAACCATAAAGTATTAGTCACAGCTAATAGCAAGACTTTTTTTAAAAGCTGCTGGACAGAAAGATATTATGTCATTGAAAAAAAAACCAAACCAAAACCAACTCTTGTTTAGTATTGCTTTGGCATTACCAGTTCACATTAAGAAGGAAGCATCAGATAAAATGGACTAAAAAGGGGGGTGTGTGTGTGTATTTATATGTGTGTCTGTATTATGTTCACATATATACGTATAAATACACACATAAAACCTGGAAACCTTCTCTGGGTTGGAAACCTCAAGAGGTTTTCATAAAGCAACAGCTCTCCAAAACCAGTATCAAGCATATTATTTTAAAATGAAATTAAAAAACAATAAGGTTGTTTTTCCTTACAACCTTATCTTCTGTGGAAAAAAAAAAAAATCATAACCACAATAAAATATGAGGTATCATTAAATAGGGCAGAGGGAGGAGGGAATGATGACACAACACCCCAATTTTTCTTACCGTGGTGGCAGTGCTGTAGAAGCACTTTTAAAAGCACTTTTGAATATCACATCTTGAAGAGAGTGTTCTTCCTGCAGCCTGTTCTGAATTAGCTGCAGTATCCTAAAGATTACACAGACAAGTGTGAAAGCATGCAACAGTAAAACAAAAAATAACTTCACAATTAATTATCAGCTTCAGCTGCAGATTATAAATTGAGAAGTTCACAAATTTCATGTCAGTACCGTATACAGAGCTTAAAGCCCTGGTGTTCACAGCAGTGTGTCACCAAAATACAGAAACTAGCCAGACTCCCAAATAAGCTTCAGATTCTACTCCAAGACTATCAGTATAGCGATCACATACATAACCAAACTACTCAAGTGTAAATTACACACAGTGAGTCAATTCAGTTCCATGAAAGACTCAAACTCATTTGCTTTCGCAAGAACGTGCCAATTTGTCACTATGGTTCTTGACATTTAGATATCAAGCTATCTGTGTTACGCATCTGAACCTGTAATTAAAACTTGCACTACCAAGCATTTGTTCGGAAACATATTTGAGGGAGTCCCTACATCTCAGCTTGCAACTGCATAGCCAATTCCACAGATGAAAAAGCCATAACAATTTTTCTGTAACAGAGATCTCAAATAATGAGAAAAGCAAAGTAAATTAATTCATTTTCACAGGTTTGCACCCAACTTAAAAGCAGGAGCTGTTAGATCCAAGACATAATTCTGTCATGTGACTCTGCTGTACCTCAAAGTCACTTCCAGTACAAACAATACAACCCACAGGCATGCATCTCAGTGGTTTACCTTTGCCATTCTTTTTGTCGTGGGCTGAGATCAAATACTACCTGAAACAAAAATAACACATATAATAAAACATGCAGGAAGCACTAAGTCCCATCCATGAAACCCAGAAGAGAATTGGGGTGTGGGAAGGGTTGGGGGTTATAATCAACTTCACACTTGGTACCACATACTGGAGATCATGAAAGGACTTTGCACTCGAAATAATAATTTGGTGTTCAAGTATGGAAAATTCTGTCCTTTCCCCCCAGAATTACTCACCTGTTATAACTTCAGTATCTTTTCCTAAAGCTCTCATACCTTGAGCCAGCAGTTTCTGCCCCTCTAGCCTTTAACTAACATCAGCTAGAAGAAGTAGCAAGTGGCAATTTAGTTCTAGGTGAGATAACTGACATGCATGATTTGGATGCAAACGCCAATGAAACAAGCAGAGGAGCAATCTTTGAAAGACAAGGTTCCAGGTGCAGACAGTTTATTTCTAGTGCCACCCTGCATTAAACACTTCTTTAAGACAAGCTACCAGACTTGCTACACTTCAATCAGCACCAGAATATCACCAGTAACATCTGTGCACCTAAATAAAATCTGTGTATTGTTAACACTGAGGTACTCCAGACAGTAAATGCAACTGCAATTAATGCTCGAACCTACCCAGAGTTATGGCCAAAAGAGATCAAGTACAAGAAGTTTCCCCTTTCTAAGATTATAATCACAGGGGCAACTGCCGGCATGCAGCAGCTACAGCAGCACAGAGATGACTGTACACACAAAAAGAGTAAATGTTCCAAGGAGAACAAAAAACCAAAAACAAGCTCCTTCCCGAGCACGTGCTTCCATTCAGCCATCTCCTCCTGCTCAAACACACAAGCAGGAATTTCGGCAAAACTGTTGTAATTTGGAATACAGTTCCGTTATTAGAGAAAGTAACAATTACAGCAAGAAGTTACATTCTCTCATACACTTTCTGTAAATAATAAATTACTTTCACATGGCATAATTACTTCAAAGTTTACTGTATTATGCAAGTAAAACCACTTTAAGAGCATAGGCTTACACAGTTCCAGAGCCTTCGGTTCATAATACAGAAATTAAAAGGATACTAACCCAACTGACGATCTTTAATGCTATTCCATATTGAAAGGATATCATGGTGACTTTCTACCCCTTTTTAGAACCATAGTATTCTTCTAGTTTAAAAGCAGTTACATCAGTTCTCTTTTTATAAGAGCTCTGATAGCTTTCCTTCCATATCAAATACTGTTAGTGTTTATCCCTAGAATTTGTACATGTAAAAATAACTAGCTGTAGAAATCACTAGCTTGTTAAGAAGCACTGATCTGGGAATCTGTTGTATTCAAATCTGCTGTATTTGCAGAGAGTGGACACGCAGAAATCCCAATGCCAGCCTTTTTCCCTAGCAGATTCCTGGGGTAAGCACTGCAGACCTCACTTAAGGATCAGACAACACTGGAGGGAGGTTCTGTGCAGTCCGACTGCGTGGAAAAAAAATACAAGCAAGCAAGCTAGCCCAGTAGTGCTTAAAATCAAGTAAAGAGACATTTCATTTTTAAATAAAAAGGTAAGAATCAACTTACTGGTTCATAGATTAGCCCATCTGCAGAGGCGACCATTGTTTCTGCTAAATCCAGAACATCAGCCCCCACATCTATTTTAAACAGGGAGAAAAATATTCAGAGTCCTAGAAATTATCATAAACAAACAAACAAAAAAGTTCACGTTGAAATGAAGTTTCACAGTACAGCAGTTAACTCTCAATATAAGTTACTGTGCCTTGTTAACAAAGTTGAAACCAAAAGAAAAACAGATCTGGCAAGAAGTAGACTACTGGTACATAGGGGGAAATCACAGAATCCTGCTTTTCAACCTATCATATCAGTGTCATCAACTGATGTACAGCGACCAGAAACAAACTTTTCAGATTTGCTGTATCTTCTCAATGATGTAACACCTTCAGAGATGTTGTATGATTCATATACACAAGCTTTCTAGGATCTGCTATGCATAAATATTTTTTCCTGTTTCATAAGCACTGAGTACAAATCAAGACCAGTCAAACTAGAGGATAAAGTTTTGTTTATTTCTCAAAATAAAAAAAATATTTTAAAATCAGAATTTTCTCTTTTTTTTATGCTAACTTGAAAATAACTGAAAAAGATTAAAGTAAATTTTAAGAGTAAGAAAGGATGACTTGTGAAACAAACATAAATTCACAGAATCATAGAATATGAGGTTGGAAAGGACATCAAGGATCATCTGTCCCAACCTTTCTTGGCAAAAGCATGGTCCTGACAAGATGGCCCAGAACCCTGTCCTGATGTACCATACAATCAATGCAAGGTTTAACTTAAGTCAAGAAAGTGAGTCTTGACAATTTGTTTGCATTCCTAGTATCCTCTCTGTTTCCCAGTTCAGGACAACCAAAACCAGTCCATACAAACAATGGTTCATTATCTAAATGATGTCAAAAGAATACTAAGTGTTGCCTTTAATGGGAAAGCATCCATATGTTCATCAGGAGGTTGAAATTACCCGATGGTTCCGGTATTGTTAAACAACAGACCAGGTTAATATTTGCCAAGTTCATAAATAAATAAATGTAGTGAT